CGGTAGCAGACGCCGGGGCCCGTGCGGCCCGCTCGGCCCTTGCGCTGCTCGGCGCTGGCTTGGCTGATCCAGAATTCCTGCAACCGCTGCAGTTTGGCCTGCGGGTCGTAGCTCATCTCCTTCACCTTCCCTGGGTGGAGAGGAGGTAGGAGTGGGTACTGGGGAGGGTACTGAGTGTGTGCGGCATCGCCAAGAAGAGCTAGACACCCACTCAACCCTACCTGCCACTCTGCCACACTCCTGAGAGAGGGACTGTGGTGGGGTGGACACCGGGGGACACTGAAGGGCTGCTTGGGCTCCACAGCTCAATTCCACCTTCGGCCTGCAGTGGCCTGGGCCTCTGTGGCCACATCTGTGCCTCTCTCGCTATGCCTACATCTCTCTCAGGTCTCTAGGCCTGCCCCAGCATCCTGCTCACTTACGGTTTCATTTCCTCATTTGTGCACAGCCAGCGGGGGGACAGAGTGTGCCTGGCAAACACTGGTCCCCAGCCTTTCAGAGGTGGACAGACGGGGAGTGTTTGGGTTACTGCCATGTGAAGTGGAAAGCAGGGCCTCACCCGTCCTCCACCCCTTTTGCTTCCTGGCCCTGAGCGAGCTGTCTTGCTGTCTCCATCACAGAAGCACCAGGGTCACTAGACCCTGGACAGAAGCCATGAGCCAGGGCACATCTCTGTAGAAGCGATGAGGCAAGGTCTGCCATGTAGAAGGCTGGCTAACACGCATGTCCCTTTTTCCCTTTTTCCCTGACCTTTGCTCCTTTAGATGGTCGGTCACCCCAAACTAAGTAAGTAAGCGCCTATGTCCTGACTAAGTAAGCACCTACTCTGTGCAGGCACAAGCGTAGTCACAGGCTCTGGGGAGACAGCCATAAGCAAGCAAAGGCCCCGGTCTCCCAGGACCTCGTGCACTGCCACGCAGCCACCTTCTATCTTGCCACACTCTACAGCCTCCAGATCAAGAGTGTACCATGTCTAAACGGATGACATTTAAACAATGTCTTCATGGTATGTGATATTATGGGATGCTTTACCTGCCACGCCACCACTAACTGCTGAGGCCCCTGGGCATACCCACAGGTTGCCACACACCCAAGAGAACCGACTCACTCACAGGTGCCCACACACCCAAGAGAACCGACTCACTCCTTCTTGCAACCTAAGGATGTGGTTGTTACTATTTCCATCTCACAAAAGTGTCAATGACAAGACCCCACTGGCCAGCTCTGATGTATCTTAGCAACCATGCTAGGCTGACTTGCCAGTGAATATTCCAGTTGGGAACACATAAAATAAACGGAGTCGCAGATTTAAAATATAATTCTGCCCCCCCCCAACAGTGGAAGAAGGGGGTGATTTATATGTGTGGGCGCTTGT